GGGGGGGGGGGGTTCATTTACCTTTGTAAGAGTGGCAGGGGACTCCACAGTGTCTCATCAAAGACCAGTCTGCTCAGGTGATCCCCAAGGCAAAGTGTATGTGTCTAAGAGCTGCTTGCTTTGAAGTCTTTGTATGCAGAGCCTGGATTTGAATAGAATCACACTATTCCCCCCTTTTTTAAACAAATGACATTGCCTTACATCAGAATAGAACTGGTAGATCCTTCTATGATCCATCTTTGACCCCTTCAATGTTCCCTTAATTGTGTTCTCATGATACTAATGGGATAATGATTTTGGTTCTGCACATTCTGTTGAGAAATATGTAGCAAGATGCACAATGAACAAATTCAAAGACAGAATATAGTAAATTCATAGTATATTCTCATTCTAGAGTAGAGCGAGAGAGAGAGAGAGAGAGAGAGAGACACTTGGCCAAGCTTAGAAATGTTATTTATTTATCAAGTACAAACAAAATAGCTCATAGAATCCTCCACTAGATGGCGCTAGTCCCTTAATACCTAAATAATAACGCCATTGCCATCTCTTTTAAATGCTAGGCCCCAGAATCTGTATATATTGGGGGCCTAGCACATGCATATTTCCCGTGTGAACATCTTAACATTTTGTGTGAACCTTATACTAGGACCTTGATACATAATTTTGAAACTATATTTATTTATTTTTAATCTGATAAATGTTATACTGTCCTTCCTGCATGAAAATAAAAATGTAGTACATCAAGTATTATATAATGCCTGTCAATAAGACTTGTTGCCAAATTGTGCTATTACCATTAATAGTTAAGCATTGCTTTTGCCTCGCTGGTGTGTTTAGTATTTGACATCATAATACACAGCATGTCTTAGTGGTAGCACCGCCTGGAAGTGAGAGGCCAAGGCCAGTTCATTTAAGCCTGTAATGGTAAATCAAGGCAAATTGGACAGTATTGCATTGGTTAAATAAAGATTTACGGCGCCAGAGGTAATTGGCTTCCATCTTGGCCAGATGTTCGCAGCTTCGCTCGTGCAAATATAAGGTGAGAGCACGTGGTAGTGTTCCGTTTAACAGCTGCCCGTTTTCCTCTCGCGCGAGCACATCTGTTATTTGGACTGTCTGTTTTTGCATATATTGTCGGTTTCTTTATAAGCTTGATGCTATAGAAATCTGTCCATTTCTGTGAGAGCGTAGGTGAATAATTAATACAGCTAAACGTGGACGCGCCAGTCGTCAGCAGGCTTAAATGCTGTGGATAAAGACTGCTCTTAACTCAGCCGTGGTGATTATGGGCAATTTAAATTAGTTTCAAATAGTTTAAAGTTGCCCAAACAGCCATCCATCATCCTGTCAAATGCCACGCCCCCTCGCCGTTCATTGGCTGCGGAGGTTGCACCTATGGCACGTCATCGGAGGAGTGACTTTAAAATGTTCTCCTTGTTCGTTCATGTGTAATTCAGCGTGAACTGATGCCAGAAACCAGACTTCGCAGCTCTTAGGGGGTTTTAGACACGAATAAGGAAGCGAGTTATAATAAATTCTAGTTTTAGGAAAGCGCCACAAAGCTCAACACTAACATGAAGTTGACGGCTGCAGCGGAGCGCTTCTAACGAGAGGGACGATTTTGAAGTTTGTTGGAACAAGAGACACTCGGATTATCAAAAGCGCATTTTCTTCAACGCTTTTTGGGAGGACGAAAACAAAGTGCATATTAAAAGAAAGCCAGTCTCTCACTGTTTAATTCTTTGAGAGTGATCCCACCACCTTTTGACTTCTTTCCAGACTGCGTACAAATAACGGTGAGTAAAAACATACAATAAAATTACATTAGTAGAGATTGTTTCAATATGGTTGGAGTGGCCCGATGTTTCGATGGCTTTCTGTTTTAACAGTTCAAACACGCACCTCACAACGTCTAGTCCTATAAGATGTCATATTGTTGGTTTTTATCATACCGTTTGTAGTTATTTGTCATTTAGCTGCTTTATCTAATGCAAGTTACTCCGCATTTACCAGAGCTGCGTTTCCCAAAAAGCATAGTAACAGTTAGATCGCAGACCATTAGTGCAAATATATTGGGGTTGCAAGTGCTACTTTACAAGTTTAGCTATGGACCAAAAAAATGACCGTTTTATTTAGTTATATGAGTATTATGTCTGTTATTTTTGAACAACATCTTAAGCACAACATCGCCAACCTTGTTTAATCAAACTTTACATTGCTGCGTAGTGCGTACATTGGCTGCAACTTCTCCGTACAGTAACTCGCACTCAATGGCTTGATCTCAAATCGTAGTGAGCTGCCAACCTAGACAGCTGGGCTCAGTTGGGGACTAGGTTAAATGCTGTCTAGGTAGGCAGCACACTATGTTTTGAGACACAGTCTTGGATGTATGCTGTCACTGGAGCGGAGAATTGTGCACAATGGGGAGTTGTGCGCGGAGTGTTAATTAAAAAGAGACCCGTTTTAATGAAACGGCGAAGCGTGTAGTTATAAGGCCCCAGAGCGCATTATTAAAAGAGAAGGATATACTGCTAATCTGCGGTGGTGCCAACCAGGGTTTGGTCATTTGCTCACTGGACTCGCTACTATTTATAGAGGCTGCGAACCATGGCGTTATGCTCATTTATTTAAATTATCAGCGAGTCAGCGACTCTCACTGGGTTTTTGCGCAGTTATTTGTTTTCTTAAGCGACGCTTGACACTTAAAATTCACAGTTACAGCACAAGTCCATTTATACTGAAATAGCGAAATTGTACGGTCGTTCTCTCGCGTTACCGAGTTTCTATGGTGACCGTAGTTCTCAACAGTCGTTCCGCCCAACTAAAGGAAAAGTTGAGGCGCAATCATAAAACATAATAGTGTGCTCTTAAGTCTCCTACACCATTAGGCTAGTAATTGATGATATGTGATTTGTCTCGTGGTGTAGACCCATCATTTGCTCCGTCAAGCCGACACCAATCCATCAGTCTGCGCTCGGACAGCGACGGTATTGTGTTTCTCTTCATTAGCTTCTGTTTTTGCCTCTTATTTCATCAATCAGCCCGTTAGTCAAGTGGAACTGAACGAGCCTCCCCCTCTATGACCTTTCTGATGACAGCGTTTAAATAACGAGAGAAAGAAAGAGAAGAGTTTGGTCTATTTCCAGAGGAGCTCCTCACTTCGAAACTAGCAGTACTTGGTTGACCTGTTCATTTTAAACGTTTGGGAAAATATGATGAATGCTCGACTTGAAGACCAGCTTTGTAAATGTAGCCTGTTTAATCTAATTTTGCTATATTTTGGTATAATAAACTAAGAAATGGGTCAAAAAGAGTTAAAGTAAGTCTGCAGAGCTTTTATGACATTCTCCACCCGTTTATCTCATTGGCAGAAATGTTGGCATATATACAATTCTTTGATAAATCCGCCCATTGATGTACAGCTGTGCTCATAAATAACCTATTTGCCCAGATTTGCCTGTTTTAATTTAGCAGTGACCTTTAAACAAACTTTGCACTCCTCTTAAGCAGTATGTATGCCATATTTTGGTTCGCCTTCTAAGTCAGGAATTGGTCATAACACAATGTTGGCCTCAAACAATTTGTCATAACAAAATGTAGGCCTATATCGTCACAAACTCCTGGTACCCTGTGATAACACACTACATTAAGCCTCATAGCTTAAAAAAGGTTGTCGCCAAACGTTTCCTGTGAAGGATTAACTTACCTAAGTTATTAGAGGGATAATGTAATTGTTCTGTATTGAAACAGCCAAGCCTCAAAGCGAGTGATATTCCCCCAGGGTCCCATTCAGCTGCATTGTCTCTCTCGCTCTCAGGTCTGCAGGAAAGGGATGATTAAAAAATGGGGGATTTGCATTTTCATGAAATTAACTGTTGCAAAGTTATTTGGCAACCTGCTTTGGAATGGCACTTCTGCAGGTGTGTGGGAATGACAATCTGTGGTGCTTGTTACCGGTGTCAGTTATGGGGAAAAGGTCCTGAGGCAAAATCTGTTTGTGTAGGAGCACTGAATAAATTTACTTTTGATTCAGGTTTATAATCTCGTACAGCTGGTCCCAATGCATTTAATAAGATATCAGGCTCGTAGTTCATGTGAGATTTACAAATATGCCCTACTCTGACATGACAATGAAAAGATTAGAGCAGAGGGTGTCGGAAATTGGTTTAAACTGGTGCCTGGCAAATTCTCCAATAAGAATTCAGGCATGTAGGTTCATGTCAGTTTCGGGATACTCGTGTTTGTGGAGGAAATGCTTACGCAGTGCTCTGAGCATTGTACTAGACCTGCTTGGTCAGTTTTATCAGGTAAGGTGAGGGAATGTAAACCACTTACGTGCAAAAGATCTCTCTTTCCAGGTTATTTTTCTACAGATTGCTAGCTTTAGGATTTCCACTTTTTTCTTTTTATTGCATAAACTGTGTGTAAGGTGTTTCCCCAAAAACATGTTTCATCCTCTGTATCTTCCAAAATTCAAAGGGATTATAGTTCCCCCCAAAAATGAATATTCTGTCATTTACTCTGTATGACTTAAGGCTGGAATACACTACATGTCTTTTAAAATCAGAAATAATTTTAAAACACTTGGCATTAGTGCTGGGCGGTATACCGGTTCATACCGAATACCGGTGTTTATTTTTGTTATGATATTAATTTTTAAAATACCGCAATTTTAAATAATGTTCGGAACGTGACACTGTTTGAAAGGCGTCCCTTTTCACTGTTGCACTGTGGTGAGGGAACAGCTGTATGTGTTACTAAGCGTGAAAGTTCCGAAACTGAAGCTGTAGAACTAATAGAACGTGATGACACAGAAGAACTCATCCACAATATCCACATTGACCGCCACAAATATCCACTGCCCCCTGCCATCAGCTCCCTCACACACACACGAGCGCAACTTTAACACTAGGTTTAGCAACTTTCAGACCCTTTAAGCGACTTTTTTTCCATAGAATATTCATACTGACAAACCTAGTGACTTTTTTGGATAAACCTTGGTAGCTATGGTTCAGTTGGAAGATTTCGCCAGTGCTGTCCCGCGAACTCGAGGTCAGACTTTCCCGGAGAAGTGTCACCTCTCTCGGCATCTGTTCTGTGCAGTGAGCGGCAGAGAAGCAG